AGACAACGATTCTCTAATTCACTCTGAAATTTCACAAACCCAAAACAAAATTAATCGAAAAGGTAAAGTCTTTCGTAATCATATAACGCTCTCAAGTTCACGTTTTTCTTTCCCATCAATCTTGTATTTTCCCGAGAAAATCAACTATGTAAGATTTTCCCAGGAATCGATCGGTTTTGTAGTTACCTCTGTCTCTAATCCAAAAAAACTATTACTGTATCTATCTTATTTTGAGATTTCTGTTCAATTTTTAGCCTCAATTGCTTATTTTAGCACATATGAACAGAGATCTAGCCGATATATAGATTGATAAAAAAAGTTGCCTTTTTTTAGCTGTATAGATGCAGGTTTTGTCTCAAACTTGGCTTGGATTGATCTGTATGTGTGAAAGCTTGACCCTTTTTTAAAATTGTATCAATGTAGATGTCAGATAATTTGGAGGATTCGGTGATTAACTTGAAGCTACTCATAGATGAAGCAAAAAAAAAGGTCGTATTCGCTGAAGCGGGTAAAGATTTCGTGGATATACTCTTGAGCTTTTCGCCAATGGGAACAATCGTTAGATTGTTGGGGATGCATCAGACAGTAGCCATAGGTTGTTTCAATAATATCTATGGAAGTGTTGCGAGTATGGGGATGAATAATTTTACTACGGAAGCTAGCAAGCAAATGCTTTTGTATCCGGGGAGTTTGAATCAGGAGAAGTGTCAAAAGATCAAGCTGAAGATAGATGATTCCGAGGCTACGAAGTGTTACATGTGTCCTATGTTTGTGCGAAGCGGGCAATGTAGTAAAAGGTATAGCAATTTCAATACCTCCAGGTGTAGCTGTGGGAATTTGATGAATGAAGTGATTCAGTTTCAAGGAGAAGGAGGACAAGGTAACGGTGTTGAAGGTGGAGTATTTGTGAGGAGTGCTCATACTTCATTCATAATCACTGATGATTTGAAAGTGGAAGTTAACTCTGTTGGATCAACGTTTAATGTTCTTAAAGATCTTGGCTATGCGGATTGCGATAAGTTGGTTGAGATGATTCTCGACGTTAATCTCCAAGAGGTATTCTTCTACTAGACTTCAGTTTAATGTTATGCGTGTGAGTATTTAAAGTTCTTTTAAATTGTTTAGGTAGCTACGTTGCTGGAGAGTTTATTCACATCGGATACTCCGCTGACCGATACATTTCTGAAAAAGAAAAGCTCATATGGTATGGAGAGGATTCATCAAACGCAGAGTCCTGCCTACGGTGTGGATGGAGAGGAATCAAAAGCTGATCAGATGATAACGCTGAATGCATATGTTAGGAAGAAGGAAGGGAACATTATATATGTTGAATGTGGTAATGATTTTGTTGATCTTCTTTTCACTTTTCTTGCTATGCCTCTAGAATCTGTATGGGGAATATCGGGCAACGGAATCATCCTTGGATGCATTGGAAACTTGTGCAAAAGCTTCAAGGAATTGGGTGTTGATTCCGGAGGAGAAGCTTCGGGTTTTAAATGTGTTCTTCCTCATTACTACAAGTGTCAGAAGCAGCTGCTTGATGTTGTCACTACACATAAGCCACCAACTTACTACCATTATGTTTCCTTCTCTGTGAATCATTTTAGAGAGTACAGTTTGTCTGAAAACTCTGGTAAGCGACTTGTGTATGATTGGGATGAACTCGTGCGCGTGACCTCGATAGATCCAAAATCCGACAGTGCTGAATCAAGTGGATTTGTGAAGAGAGGGATGAGGTTCATGGTGACAGATGAATTAATCATTGCTCCTTCGAACTCAACCTCAACCATTGGAATGTTAAAAGATAAACATACCCGATTAGATGAAGTCGAAGTGCGAGTGATCAGTATGAAAAAAGAAGAGGTAAAAGCTTGTCAAAGATCATTTGCTTGATTTCAACATACATATTACTACTAAATTATACATTCGCTGATACCATACATGCGCATATGCAGGTTATCAGATTACTGGCAGCTTCATTGGTGACATCATCTGCGTTAAGCACTGGTCTCTTAGGTATGGAACCAGCTTCAACAAGTACTCCTGGAAGCCGGTTTCGCAAGAAGCCAAAGATCGAGACTTGAAGAAGAGCTTCAATCCGATTCGATCGTTTTAGAATCTTTTGATTAGCATCCGATTGTTTTAGTAACTTTGTCTAATATCTTTTGTTCTGTTTTTCTAAGGGTTATTAGAAACTTAAATAACTATCAAGGTTATCTTTAAGACATCAGAAAACTTGTGATTTAATTTTGTGATCCAAATATCTAAGCACTATATTTTACTGCGTTTTAAGTCAGAAATTTCATCATCTTTCTTAAAGTGTTAGTATGTCGAAATTAATCAAAAATCTTGGAGTATAAGTGCAGGGTCTTGGAAATTGGTTTTGACCCATTATTAAAGTTGGTTTAATGTTAAAGATGTTAAATCGTAAGGATTTCAGTGACAAGTGTGTGAATTTAAGTGCAGGTTACAGAATCAAAGGGTTGTGTTTGTGTTATTGGCTCTTGGGTTTTGACGATGACCCGTTTATAGTGGATTGTTTGTCTTGTGTGTTTCTTAATATCCATAGAAAAT